CCGAAACGAAACTGTCTGAGCCATGAGGACGCCATGTTGCTTTCGTCCCGCAGGAATTTTTAAATGGATGCCGCTCGCGCTGAGTTACGCGGAGGAATAAAAGAACGCACCTTAATTGTCATCTTCAATTTTTTCGTATGGTAGCCGGCATTCTAACATTTTTCGTGGCTACTTTCAATGCTCTGTCGGCGAGACAATCCATTTTATGGTTAAATTTTACAATTGGGACCCTTCTTCTGTCTCTAAAAACGTATATTTTAAAACCATAGATCTCTCCATTACTATACTATCGATATCACGGGCGCCGCCATTTTTTCTTTCTTTCTTTCTTTCGCCGTCTGAATTTTTTTTTCTTTCGCCGTCGTTCCTAAAAGCCTAAAAAACAGCAGTGCACTCCCGTAGTGGAGGATACACAGCGACCACTATTAACGAACGCTATGCGGTGTTATAGCGCCATCTGTTGAAAATATAATGAATTTCGAGAAATTTTTTTAAATAATAAGATTTTTACTAGTGTTGCAACGAATAGTATATTCGGCCTCGGGACGAATACCGAATATTTGGCCAGGAGCGTAGCCGAATAGCCGAATATTTGGCCAAACTATTCGGCTCGATTAACGCATGTACGAAAATTGGCGCGCAAAGCGCATTATGGCAAGGACCCCGCTCTCTATTGGCCCGCTGTCACTACGCTTCGCCAATCGCGTTAATTCTTGACAGTGTAGCGGACAGACAAGAGCGTCATGGCAGTACTGTATGTGATAAATGATATCAAATGTGGATAACAATGAAATGACCTACATTTGTAAATAACGGAAAAAGAACAGAGAAGGACCGCGAAGTGAAAATGTGAAAATAAGTATGAAATTGAGTCGATAACATAATCGAACGAGTCGAGGCGGCTTATTGGCGCGAAATTCGAGGCAGTCAATGCCAAACAATTGTTTTCGTAGACTTCGGAAAGCTAAATGCTTGTAATGAAAGTCACTTAGCGTGCACGGGCGAATGCCTGGGGCCGTTCGGGCTACCGAGCTGTCTCGAATCTGTAAAATCATAACTGTGACTTATACCGTCATCCTATCTGTCTCTTTTCTGCGTTATCACCAGGCTATGAGTCACGTAATTGTAAAATTGGAAATCTACAACGGAAAAGTGACGAATCGAAAGTATCGTGAGCGCGTATTAAGATGTATGCGTAGGCATACGTGGACTATAACGATAGAGGAAAGAGAAAGGGAAGTGCAAAGACGAGCGCTTAAAAAGAAGGATAGGCAGGGTCAGACCCTCGATTCTGGAACGAATGTGTGTACGTCTGCTGATCTTTGTAATTATAAATTGCGAATACGTGTGACTAATATTATTTTCTTTTTTATTTTGTGCGTGTTATAAGTTATAAATAAATATAAACAAACAACACTAACCCGACAACATTAAATCTAAATACCAAAAAATTAATTTACTGTGTTTTTCTTATTTCTTGCTCCTGTTTTTAGGTATTCGGTATTCGGCCGAATAGCGAAAAATAGGCCGAATACCGAATATTCGAATATTCGTTACATCACTAATTTTTACATCATATAAATGTTATTTTATTTAAAGAAGAAGCTTATTTTATACATTATTAAGTGCACATTATTTCTGTAAATGTTCCTCTTTCACGTTTTAATTTTAAAACAACGATCTCTTTCTTTTCTGCTTACTTTTGTTTTGGCCAATCGGCGTTGAGATAAACATTTATTTGTTAGCCTTTTAAGTCGTTTTTGAACAATTTTCGTATTTCAAATTTCAAATTTCAAATTGACCGTTTCCGTTGTCAAGTGTACGAACTTAAAATCACGAGATATTCGAGTATTAAGAAATTTAAGGGGAGGAAGAATGAAAAATTTTTTGTTCTTTCCGCCATCTGGGTATTAAGAGGGACGTTTTTCGTGTAGGTTCAGAATTTATAGGACTACAATTTTTTCAAATTGCATCCCAAGCAAGACAGTATAAAAACGTTTTAAAAATGTTAAAAACAAAACAACTGAAAAAGATGAAATTCACGTGTCAACTCTCACACGTTTTCTACCATCCCTCTGATCTGATATAAACCTTTCCATTTCAGGCTGAATCTTGTCTATTCTTTCGCTGCGCGGACTATAGTAAATAATAAAAATTCCGAAGCATTTCAAGTTACATTTTAAAAATTCTTTTTGAACAATTTTAATTAGACTCACTCCGTGGCCGGATTGAAAAATTAATCTGAAATTTTGTCTTGGTTTACACAACAATGGAGGTTCCAATAATTTTTGAATGAATTATTACTTACACCGTTACGAATACAGATTTTGGGCTTTTTTTCTGTTGGGATTATTTTACATAAAAAATATTTAAACATATAATATTATACTAAATATAAAAAAAGATTTTATTTTTAATACGTTCGATCGAAGCGTGAGAAAGCAGATTTTCATTATTACACGGGCAATTTTTTAAAGATACAAAAGTACATAATATTAATTAATTGATTGTTTTATTATTTTGAGCAGAGATTAGTAAATGTATCGGATGTTGAAAATGTAGAAATGTTATAGAAAAATATAGTCAATACTACAGACCAGTGCTACTCGAATTGTGGTCCGCGAAATAGTTAATTGCTTGAAGATTTCACTTCAAATTTCAAAATTTTAGATATTACTTAATATAAATTTTGTAAAAACATGCTATTTATTACTTTAGTTATCCTATTTTCGCTTTTATTGTTTTATTATTTCTAAAAACACTTGGTACCAGAGGTGGAGTGGCGATGAAAATTCACCCACAAACCCATTTTTTTCAAAGTGATTTACTAAGGAAATTTGGTTCTATTCAGTCTAAACCTTGAAATAGAAAAATGCATTTGAACTCTAGCCTTTCCGTTTAATAACTATTTTTATTTAATTTCACAAAAATAAAGTAATTTTGCGAATTTCCAAACTTTTCTGTCTAGAAGGCAGATACAATACGTCATGCACGTGAGAATTCTTACGTACCCATTATCACAGATGGCCGAGTTATTAAGGCAGTGATATTCAACCGGGATGCCTCGGCACATTAGAGTGTCATAACACTTCAGAGATGCCGCTAAACAGTAATGAGCAGTGCCATAACACTTCTAAACACAATAACTCTCTAGGCTTATTGATAAAGAAGTGGGATACCACTATTACAAAAAGATTGAAAAACACTGGGATAAATTAAAGTCGATACCTTAAGCCTGCCGCTTCGAGGAGCCGAAAATGAGTCCTGATGGGTCGAAAAATGCCAAAAGTACAGAAAAACCCCCCAATGCTTTTGCACTTCTCTACGTTTCGAGGCTTCCCGAGTCCAAAAGAGTAAAGAACCGAACGAAATCGATAGAGCATCTCTCCTCACCAATATTGACGTCGACGAGCGTCGATATGAGGAATACTTTACCCGAAGATTGTGGTATTTCGTTGCCGAAATGAGGGGACGACTGCGAATAAAACTGCAATTCGCCATAAAATTTGCATCACTTAGAACGTAAATAATGAGAAGGTTTGTATTACCGACACTAATCACGTCTTTTCGTCAGTATGGGCTATACGTTTCGCGCGTTAAAGACCTCACGTTTAAGACCCTCAAAATAAAATACGAGGAAATGTTTCGTCATATTCGGTAAACAACGCAATAACAATTAGTCATTTCAATTAAAGAATAATAATAAAAATCATTCGCTAGAAATGCTGAATAATAGACTATATTTATTAAAAAAAAGCGTGTCAAATTATATTAAATTGTGTTTTTAAATAACTTTTCAAGTTCGTAAACTGTAAATTTGTAATCTAAACTGCCTAAATTATATAAAAATACATTATTTATTTAATTATTATAAAATTTCTCGGTATAAGAATTCAGTTAAATCATATCAGCAATTCGAATTTTCTATATAAAAATTTGCTGGGGACTCGAATCGAATGATTCGAAGTAAATTTTATGATAAAAAAAAATTTATATTGTTTATAAGTCTTAAATATAAAATATCGTAATACGTGTATCATTACCGTAATTTAAGTTTAATTCCTGGTTATGCCACCGACAGAAAGACGATTGCAAATGTAGTGTGACGTAATAATAAAAGTTTATTGCATCACTATAAATTTGTAATTATTTTTCTTTCGGTGGCATAACCACGGATTAAGTTCAGTAGGGAGCGGATAAACTTAAATTACAGTAAAGATATGTGTGTTACGATGTTTTATCAATATAAACGTCGAGAGAGGAAAATATTTGGGTCGATTTTACTTTAAAATAAAAGAAATTCGATGTTAACAAGAGTCTTTTAACCTCTGTTTCGTTTTTTAATGAGATATGGCAGACAACACGGGAGCGGATGAAGGGGGAGATGGGAAGATTTTCTTTAGAAAAATGGTCCTTATTTAGGTGCTACATACGTGAAGGAAACCCGAAAAACTCCACGCTGCCAGTCCAACTCAAGCGAAAACGCGACTAACTACCAGTTTTCGGTAGTTTTATCTACTCGACCTTTAACCTTTGATCTCCACAGAAATTTCAATTTTAAGATTAGTTCAACAGAATACCTGTAATACTATATAACTTTTATAGAAAACTTATCAAAGAAATTTAATACAACTCGAATAAAATTTTCATTTAATGAATAATCTAATGTTCTAATTTAATAAAAAAAAATATATATATACAGTATATAAAATGATTTGCACTTCCGTTAAGTTTCTGTTTATCATACAAAAATTATATATATATGGGTATATAAAATTACACGTCGTATATTATTACTTATATCTAAATACTTCAAAAAATATTTTTTTATAAAAACAAATCTAAAAAATAAATCTAATATAACATTCTGCGGGTAATTTTTCAAAAGTTTTTAGAATTTCTCTAAAACCGTATTCGGAATACAATCCGTATAAATATAACGAGGGTATCTGTTTATATAATTTTATGTATATTAATCATTTGAATCATCGACCAGTTCAAATAAGCTATTTTTCATTGGATTATATGATTTTGAAATACGATGGCGTAAGAATGCAAATTCATTATCACGTGGATACTTTATTTATAACATACTAAAGAATCCCGGTATAAACTCATTGTTCTTTGCCTCGTTCGTACCCATTACTAGTCGACAACTAGGTACGAAAGTAACCCTTTCGGCCGTTGATTTTAGCTAATTTTACTCCAAAATAAATTTATTTTACAGACATGAAAGAGTTTATCCGATTTACGTTACTTTTCTCGTCTTGTCTTGTGTATTTTCCATCATACACTTTGGCTAAAGAAACTATTAGTTACTTAGACCTAACTCATCCCTTGAGCAATTCGACTACCAGCTACTTGCCGGGTGTGCAGCCATTTCGAGTAACAATATCGAAGAAAGAAATCAAAGACTCTTCCGAAACCTTTTGGTAAGTGTTGAAATTTACCGTCTGTCTTTCTGCATTTCTTTGTAGAGATTAGTATTATGCTGAAATAAAACTGATTTCAGAAAATAATCTTGTCAAATACAGTTTTTGAACGCTACTTTATAATATAAATCACTCCTAAAGATCTTCACATCATATTTATTTGTATGTCTTTCAATCAGGGGTGCCTCATTAGCAAATGACGTAACAGGAAACAACTAAAAGATTCAGCAATATAAAATTTCTGTTGCGTTACGTAAACGTAGACAAAACAATGTAATTAACAATATAATTTCCGATACTTCTCATCACTATAATGGCTCTTTAACATTAACACAACAGAGGCGATTGCAATTGATCTCAAATAGAATCCATTGAATTTGTTACAAAAATTTGAAATTTAAAAGATCAATATTTATAATATAATCGATAAGATCTTTCATAATTGTATTTCAATTCTTTTAAGGTATCAAACGGAAAATTACGCTACTTCAACCCTCGTGGGCACTTACCTGGAAGCGCCGTGCACGTTTTACAAAGAGTCATGGTGCGTGAATGACATACCAATGGATCGTCTGATTGCCCCTGTCACGTTCATGAACATATTGGGGGAAGTTAAAACTAATGCTTCGTACGAAATCACTCCTGAGGATTTCATCTGTTTTGAAAAGGATAACGGAAAGATTAAAAACGGAAGCATTTTATTGATTTACACCGGATGGAGCCGATATTGGAACGAATCAGACAAATATTTTGGGAAAAGCAAATTACAATTTCCGAGTTTGTCAGAGGAAGCGGCTCGATGGTTGGTTACCAACACAGGGATTGTGGGTATAGGAATCGACACGGCATCCATAGATCCGGGAACCTCCACAAATTTTAGAGCGCATCGAATTTTTGCAGGAAAGAAAATATTCATTTTAGAAAATGTGGCTAACATGGATCAATTCTCCAAGGCGTGCAAAATTATTAATTTATATGTCTTTCCCCTGAAGATAGCCGGCGCTAGTAAGGCGCAGTGTTCTATAGTGGCGCAGATAGAAAATTCCGCTCCTTTAGCTTCCTCCGTTTGGATGCTTACAGTATTACTTTGTTTATTTTGTAAACTCTTCTAATTGTTAACGTATTGTCAATTATGTAATTTCGGAACGACAAACTGACGAATCCAAAATAAATTTTGAATGTCGAATTATTACTATTTATTGTAATATATATATAAAAAATGTATAAATATTAAAAACGGAATTGAATAAATTTATATTGCACCTTGTGGTAAACTACTTAAATCATCGAAGAAACTGAAAGTACACAAATGTCACTGGGGTAAAATGCGGTTTTTCAAAGAAATTCGAGAAAATTTAAATTGAAATTACACGTAAAATTTAATCGCCAAGGTTATCCGGGCCTGCACATATTTGTTAACGCACCTGCAGGGTTCGCCAGTTTATAAAACAAATATGGGTATATATATATAGGGACTCTAAATTTTCTCTCTTCGCGAGCCCCTAAGTTTTCTCCGGCCGGGAAAAATTCCTAGTTCCTTCTCCCTCTCGATGGTCTCGAGTACCAAATCATCCGCGCAGACCCGATCTTTACGTAACTCGAACAGGCAGAATTTACAACACGAATCTATAAACAAGAGACTGAGCATGTGGCAAGTGCTTTCGTTCGCAATTAGAAATAAGAATCGAAAAACAACAATCGATAACTTTAGTCGAAGAGAGCAAAAAAGGTAGGAATTACCTTAGGCCATTATGTTATATATATATAAGTATACAGTAGACCCCCCTATAACGCGAAGATACGTTCCTCGTTATACGAATTTCGCGTTGTAGGAATCCTTAAATACATGAGCCAATCGCAGCCCGACACGTGTGAAGTTTACGGACTACGGCTGTTTGAAAAGTTTTCTTCCATAAAATTAATCGATTCTAGACTAATCCAACTCAACATTTCCAAAATACGTATATATTTTTTGGAAATAATCCGTATAAACTACGCTATAAACAAAAAATTGTAGGATTACTTATCGAGTGTGCACCATTCGACATCGCCATTGCTCAAGCTTGTTTTCGTCGCGGAGCAGCGCACCAAACCGCGGCCGATTTCTGATAACTTATTTTTCTGCGAAAACTTCGTTGAACTTTGAAGACATCATTAATATAAATAATTTTTATGGCCGTTGAATAAGAAATGTTTCTTTCACAAGAAATGTATAAAATTACA